AGTGCTGGGATTAAAGGCGTGCGCCACCACCGCCCGGCCCTTTGTTTATTTCTGAGGCAGGATCTCTCTCTCTCTTTCTCTCTTTCTCTTTCTCCTTCTCTCTTTGTTTTTGTTTTATTTTGCTTTTAGACAGGGTTTCTCGGGGTAATAGCTCTGGCTGTCTTGGAACTGGCTCTGTAGACCAGGCTGGCTTGAACTCACAGTGATACCCCTGACTCTGCCTCCAAGGTTCTGGGTCTGAAGGCATGAGCCAACACGGCCCAGTTGAGACAGAATCTCCTTATGCAGAATACCCTGGAACTTGCTATGTAGATTAGGCTGGTCTGAATTTTGCAGAGATTCACCCTTCTCTGCCTGCTGAGTGCTGCTATTTAAGGTGTGTGCTACCATACTTAGCTGAAATGGTGGAGGCAGAGAAATAGGACCTTCTCTCACTCCCCATCACTACCCCTGCCCAGCTAGTGCTTTGGCAGTTTGGAAGAAGGAGCAGGTTGGGGAGCATGAGTTAGGGAAGGTTCTGCGAGGTGGACAAGATACAGGGACACTAGCAACGGGTAGGTAAAGTGGCAGAGCCTGGCACTAGGTGAACCTGATCGATGTCTGTAGTAACCATAATTTACCAGAGAATTATTCCCAAAGAATGCCGTTACTTTGGGACAGTGAGGTGGCTCAACAAGGAAAGGCTCTTACACCCAATCCTCACATCCCGGGTTCAACTCCCGGGACTAGAAATAAATGTAAAAAAAAAAAAAAAAAAAAAAAAAAAAAAAAAAAAAAAACTTTGAAAAAAAATGCAATTAGGGCTGGAGAGAAGGATCAGTGGTTAAGAGCACTGGCTGCTCTTCCAGAGGATCCAGGTTCAATTCCCAGGACCCACATAGCAGCTCACAACTGTCTGTAACTCTGGTTCCAGGAGATCCAACACTCTCACAGGACACTAATAAGATAAACAAATGATCTTAAAAGATAGTTTAGAATATATTAAAAAGAAAAAGAATGCAATTACTCAGAATACATTTCAGGAATGTTCTATGACTACCCACCTTGCCCCCAAAGAGTCCCCACATTACTCTTAGGTCCCTAATGACATCTTTTGTGTGTCTGCACTTGGCTGTGTACACCTGAGTGCAGGTGCCTTTGGAGGCCAGAGCTGTTGGCTTCCTTGAAGCGGGGGTTTTAGGTACTTGTGAACTCCTGGACTTGGATGCTGAGAATGGAACACAGGGCCTTCCTTTGAAGGAGTAGGAAATACTTTTAACCAATGAGCTGTCTCTCCAGCCCCAATTTATCTTTTTTTAATATTTATTTTTTATTGACTTATTAAAATTAAGAGTGTGATGTGTGTATGTCTGTGTGCGAATATGTGAAAGTGAATGTTGATGCCACTGGAGGCCAGAGGCATCGGAGCCCCTGGTTAAAGCAGCAATTAATGAGGCAATTCCACGAAGTTTATCTGATGTCAGAGAGGTTTCTTTTGGTGTGACTAACAGACAGCAAATGGACCGATGGTTACAGGATCCGGGAGAGGTGAGGTGCAGTCCAATCCGGTTCTCTGGAGAACTCTGACTTGGACTGCAACCTAGCATCCAGCATTCAGGAGCAGGAGGGAGCCAAGAGAGAACCAGCACATATGCATCCCGGGTCTTAAGAGGTCCCCATCTGGGCCTTGCCCCAGGGACAGGTCATAGGCAGGTGTGGCAATTACCTGCTGCCTCACTAGGGGCAGTGCTTTAAGGTCAAAGCTGGAACAGTTACCCACTATACCTGGTGCTAAGAGTCACCAGTGGTTAGGAGCCCAGTGTGGGTGCCGGAAACGGGACTCACGCCCTCCGGAAAAGCAAACATTGCTCTGAACCATGGAGCCATCTCTCGGGTCCCTCTTACCCCAAGATCAATCAATAAAACTAGAGACACTCCAGATTTATGTCAACATAATTCTTTAAATATTACAACATGTTTTAGTGAGATTTGGGGATATAGGGTCTTAGTCTCAGGGCACTGAGGGGGCTTGGTGGGGGTGGAGGGTTGTGGGGGCAGAATGAGCTGGAAAAGAATGAGGGGTGAGGTGTGGTTAAGTCTCTATGACTCTAGGGCAGGGCAGCCTCTTCGCTGGGAATGTCCCTGTCCAGTACATGCAGATCTGTAACAGGAGAGCAACAGCAGATGGTTAATTTTGAAAGGCTCCGGCAAGCCCGAGTGCTGCAAACATGGACAGACAGGCTTTCCTTTGTCCACCCCGCCCCCTCCTGGCTATGACCATTAGATGACATTCCTAAGGCTAGCTGCCAAGGTCCATTCCCTTACTTGACCACTTCCTCCTCCTCAGGCTGACAGCCAAAGTCCAGCTTTCCAAGTATTGAAGTCCAGCAATCAAAGGCCCCCTTTTGGCTATCCTAATTAACACGCCAATTAAAATAAACACCTCATTCTAACACGGGGTTTCCCCTTCTACCTTTATGAACTGCCTTCGCCTATGTGCCCTGCCGCCTGTCTCCTCTCTCTATCCAGAGGCAATCCTTTGTCCCTGTGGGACAAATACCCCTTCTCCCCTTCTCCCTCATCCTCTATCTCCTGTCTTTCTCTCTTATTACATGCCCGATGTCCCTCTGGGGCAAATAAATCTCCTTTGTGCTGAGAACTTGGTTTTGGTGTGTTCTGTGTCAATTAAAGTCTTTTCAATTTTTAACTCATAAAATTTATTTATTAGCATTGTATGTGTTGTGTGGTGTGTGTAGGGGGTGTGTAGGGTGTACAAGCATGTGGCATGGTGCATGTGTCAAACTTGGAAGACAACTTTATGGGGTCAATTCTTTCCCCTTGTGGGGTCACCCTTTATCTGGGTGTTGGAAATCAAACGCCAGTTGACTGATTGGCTCATGTTTGGCTTAGTTAGATATATGTGGGTGTACCGCATGTGTGTCTGGTGTCCACAGAGGCCAGAAAAGGGTGTTGATTCCCTGAGACTGGAGTTACAGGTGGTTGTGAGCCTCTTGTGTGGGTGCTGGGGATGGAATCTGGTTCTTCTGCAAGATCAGTAGAGTGCTTTTAACCACGGAGCCATCTTTCCTCTTCCTATCTTGGTTTTTGAGGCAGTGTCTCTCACAGAACCTGAAGCTAATAGGGTCTTACTGTGGGATGTTCTGTATGGCAAATGCGTTGCTCTGATTGGTCAATAAATAAAAC